ATAGAATAGAATAGAATAGAATAGAATAGAATAGAATAGAATAGAATTCTTTATTGGCCAAGTGTGATTGGACACTCAAGGAATTTGTCTTGGTACAAATGCTCTCAGTATAGATAAAAGAAAAGATGTATTCGTCAAGAGTCAAGAATCATAAGGTACAATCCACAACTCATATTCTTACTTTGAGAGTTCACTTAACAGCTATTGATGATCTAACTCAGGGGTCCCCAAACTTGGCAACTTTACTACTGGCTGGAGAATTCTAGGAGTTGAAGTCCACAAGTCTTAAAGTTGCCAAATTTGGAGACCTCTGATCTAACTGAACTTAATTCAAAGAATTTTCATTAAATACAGTGGGACATTTAAAAAAACCAGGACACTCAAATTTAATTAGCTGCCTAAGCTAATTACTATCCAAGCCAAAAGCGATGAGCTTTTCCATAATTGCACTTAACCATTTTATGTGACAAAGTCTTTTTCTGCCTTGTCACTACAATGTTGCCTTAAGCTTATCACAAGTCCATGAATGAAACAAACAGCACTGATATTACCTTGTTAGGGTAATGAAACATCTGCAAGAAAACAAGCAAGCTCAGAGAGCATCAAGGACCCCTCATTTCAACCCTGAGCTACAAATATTTTCCTTTATTGGTACAGACATTCTTCTTAACTCTACTGTTGTTAGATCAGAATCTTTCCTCTTATTCTATCCATCCAAAAATACTTTTGAGGTGTAGAAAAATAGATTTCTCTATTACTGTGTGGAGGGAAGTTGAATGACTGGCAGTAACTCAACACTGACATAGGACAGAGATTGGATAATGGAAATTTGATGCCATATGATTTTCTGCTGATACAAAAATTGGCGGACAGAACTTCAATTCAGCTATTGAAAAGATCCTGTGATATGGCAGGAATTAATCTTCAGTGCTTTCATATGGCTGGTTGAGAAAAATATCAGAAATATTATAGCTCAGATGACACTCTCCAATCTAAGGTGTTCACCATTAGAGATTTATAGCATTTTCACACCATTGTCAGAGATATTGTTGAAGCCTGACGTCATTCTGGTTATTTTAGCAAAAAAGGTGATTGAATGCTTGTAGAAAACATTGAAAGTCACTACTAGGGAAATGACCTAACTTTTTTCAGCCTCACATACCTAGAAACAGAAGAAGATAGTATTGTTTTTCATTAATTCTTTTCAAAAACCATTCCAGCTCACATCATACATAGAACTACAGCTTATCTCACTTATTGGTGAGAACCTTAAGAATACCCTTGAATTTGAGATACAAGTGCTCCAAACCCCATTCCACTCCAACAACCTATAGAACATACATGCTCATATGTAGGGGTGAATAATGTCTAACTGTTCCCACTTCATCTCTTTGCCATATGGAAATGCCAAAGTTTGCCTTGACTGAACTTTCCAACTTTCAACAGAAAAATAAATAGTATGCCCAGTAGAGGTACTCATTCATAAAAATAAGCATTTTCTCTCAGGCTTTGCCACTGTTGTCTTGTGAGCGCTCATGTGTTATAGCAGGATTGCAGTGTGATTGTGTAGAGCAGGATGAACAATTAATCCCACATCAAAAGTTTTTACTACATCTACAAAAGTAGAAGAAATGTGAATACTCATATCCTGCACTCTGGCATTTATGACTGTTTTGGGGAGCATGTTTGAGTAGGGAGAGAACATTGTTCTCTGGAACTTATAACATGGATTAGAGACCAAGGAAGTCCTTTATTATGACCTAGTCATGGGTTTTGCCAGGCATGCAAAAATGTAAGTAGGAGCATGGACATTTTTATCCAAGGGGAGCTCAAATTGGATTGACTTTAACTCCCAGAAGTCATACTGGCTGGGGGATTCTGAAAATTGAAGTCCATACATTCTAGAATTGCCAACGTAGAAAAATGCTAGTATAGAGGAGGGTTGATCTACAACAACAACACTTTTATGTTTTATATTGTAAGTTTCTGATGTCTTTTCGGCTTTACCCGTTTGACTCAAGTTTTAATATTTAAACATCCTCATCTGACATCTGGCTTTTTAATTCTACTTATTTTATAAACTAAAAATAATCAGAATGAGATTGATTGATGAGCAATGTCTGGCTCTCAAAATCATCATCATCATCATCATCTATTAAACTTATATGGCACAAAAACTACTCCAAGCAGTTCACAACTGAACAAAGAAATAATAAAATCAATAAAACGTAACAGGCAAAAATATAAAAAGATTGGATTCTTCTGCTTATGATACATGTTGTTTAGCTTTCTTCAAATGAAGGATCAGGGTATCCAAGAAGTTACTTAGCAAATCTTAAGCTGGAACTTTTAAAATTCCTTTTAAGGTTTTTACTATAAAAATTTTAGTAACAAATTTCATGGAAACTGCAAAATGTGTGTCTGGGGGAGGGGAATTTTTTTTGTTTAACAAAACAACCCTGAATCACATATTACCTATAGTGTTGAGATCAACGTGAAGTTCCTCTGAATGAATTCCACCCAAGTAATTTTCAGCATGGACCGAGATGGAAAACGTTTGGTTTTTCTGTAGTTGATTCAATGGAATGATAACCGAGCTACTGTTTGAGACAAATCCTTTGTTCTCTTCTGTGAATAAACTGAAAAGATCAAAGAAGAGTTTGAATAAAAACGTAGCTAGTTAAATATTTAATGTGTAATTAAAACAAGATCTGTAAATACTGTTCTAGTAAAGTCATTGTTATTAGGGGTCAGTGTGTTATAGCAGGCCTTTCTTTTTTCCACATGTTAAGCAGAACTCAACCCTTGGTAATTTTGTTTAAATTCTACTGCTTTCAAAGGGAGCATAGCTTTGCCATACAATACAATCCTATAAAATGTCAGCACAGCAAAAGTTATCAGTTCCAAGGTAATAGTATTCCTCAAAAATAGAGAACAACATGTACTAAAAAAATAGCAGAAAAATACTTAATTCTTATCCCACCAGATAGTTTTTTCATGAATTTTCTTTCTTTGGCCACTAAGGATGTTTTTCCTACTGAAGTACATAGAACTTAAAACAACTGTTTATTTATCTGCCTAAAATTCAAACTAGAATTATAATTGTAGAGGGACCAATACAGTGTGGGATTCTAAAAAATTTACTACCGCTTCTGTGGGCATAACTTGATGGATGTGGCATGGCTTGGCGGACGTGGCTTGGTGGGCATGACAGGGGAAGGATATTGTAAAATCTCCATTCCTGCCAGAGGTGGGATTCAAATTTCTTAACAACCGGTTCTGTGGGCATGGCTTAATTTGTGGGTGTGGCTTGGTGGTCATGTGACTGGCTGGGCATGGCTTGTATGTAAATATTATAAATATTTATATAAATATTGAATTTTTTATAAAAAAGAGCAACTTTTACCCAAAATCAGGCCTGTCATATAAATTTGCTTGCAAGCAAACCCATAAAATTTGCTAGCAAGAAAACTCACAAAATTAACTCACAACACACCATGTATGTAAATATTGATTTTTTTTATAAAAAAGAGCAACTTTTACCCCAAATCAGGCAGAGCAGGCAGGCAGATTGAGTTGCTCACAGAATCACAGATTCATTCAGAGATCTATCTTTCTGCCATCGGCTAGCTGAGTCTGCACTACTTTAGTCCTAAAGAAGGTTTGGCTCTGCTTAAAAGCAGAGCCAAAGATCTAACAATTAGCTAGAAAGCAAGAAATCCAACACTTTGGGAGGGGGTGCTCTGGTGGGGTGACATTTCTCTGCAGACTAACAAAATTTTCTCGTGGACCACCAGTGGGCTGCAGCCCACTGGTTGGCGACCGCTGGTATAGGGTACCTCCAAGGTCCCTTCCAACTCTGTTTTTCTGTTATTTATTCGATAGTGGAATTAGACTTATAGTCAGGATAACTTGCCCAAGAGTTTCCAAACATGGAATAGGTCTCATGGCCATGGCACACAACAACTACCCCAGTTAGCCTAGCCAGTGGCTATATTGCAACCATTAAGGGAAGCCTAGTCAAATACATATGAAGACAATTTGGAGAAAGCTGCTGCTATAAATTGCCTTGTTCTCAGGAAATTTAAAAAAACAACCCAAAACTTGGGAGGTGTTACATGCATCTCATGAACGGTACATAAAAGTGTGTATTTATACCAAGTCAAAGGCAATTATTTTGTTATTACCTTAAACTAGAATTAAAAATAGGCTTTGTGACCTCTTTTTTTTTTTTTTTTGCAGAAAATGTAAGTGGGTCACGTTTTCCTTTTTCACTCATCAGAAGTATGGCATTAATACTCTGACCTTAGTTTGTGGCTCTGAGCAGGGAAACCACAGCACAGTTCTTTCATATTTAGTTTGGTTGAATTGGTAGCTAACCTAGTTTTAGGAGGAGACTTTACAGGACAGGCAAATACATCTCACAAAATCCCAACCCTGCTGTGGTTGAGTACTCTTTGCTTGTTTTAATAAAAACTGGACTCTGCTGGCTGCAATTGCCAGCAGAGGAGTGACAGTATGATACTTTTCGCCATAAAATTCCATCCCAAACCACTCTTCTCAAAAATTTCAGGTACAAATTTATGCTTGTATGTAAGTTTACATCAGAAACCAGCTGGCTCAGGGGCATATAATAAAATGCCTGGCAATTAAACAATTCCCTTCCTTCCCACTGCTCTGCTGGTCAAAAGGATGACCTATGAAGATGTTGGAGTTCATCTTTTCAAAAAAAGTTACTAAGCATCTCATCCTCAGTACAGTTAACATGAATGGTGACTGGAGCCTCAAAAAGAGAGAGAGAGGGAAGGAGGGAGAGAGAAAGAGAGAGGGGGGGGGGTGTTCAAAGTAGGATGGCTGCAGTTATCATCCATTAAAGGATAACCAGTCAGGATGGGATGCTTAGAAATCTCTCTTCCCACCATTCGAGAGAGAGAGAGAGAAAGCGAGGGAGGGAGAGAGAGAGAAAGGGGGGAGGGAGAGATAGAGAAAGGGGGGAGGGAGGGAGAGAGAGAGATGGAGGGAGAGACTTTTTATCCAAAGGACACTCAGGCACCTGATAATTGAAAATAAAAACAGTTAAGATCTGGTAAAAATGTTAACGTGAACTTATTAATTAATTCAAAATAAAAGGACATGACCAAAGTGAAAGATCTTGGACCTTCTCTTAAAAACAGAAAGAAGGGTATCTGACCACATTTCTGATATTATTCCATTATTATTTTTATGATTTATCAAGGGTGGCCAAAATATTGGAGTTTGACAAATGTTGCAAATGCTCAGTTTCTTGCATGAGATCTCATAATATCTCAGCCATGCAAGAATATGTGAACTCCAGTGAAACATCAGATTTTTTTTTTTACTTTTATTGCAGTGCACCTACAACATTATAGAAAATTGTGTAAATCATGCCATTCATCTCTAAAAGTTGCTAATACTTGATATAAAATGTCTGGCATGGGATAAAGACTTTTCTTACCTTTTCACATATAGAATGTAGTTAGTGTTTAAATGTGTTTTCTTTCCTGATTTCCAAGTGCAGACCATATTATCTAATTGCTCAGGTTTAATGCAGGTTAAATTGGCTGGTTTGTCAGGCAGATCTACAAATCAAAGAGTTTGTAAAATTATGCTAATTTAAAAACATACCCAGAAAATATGTAATCATATCTCACTGTTGAATAAACATTTCCTCACTACCTCTTTTGGCATTTTAAATGAATTTATTCAAAGTAGCTTCAAGTTCCCTTTTTGTCTAAGATATGCCAATGAACACAATTGCTTCAATTTGAATAAGATTCATTTCGAGACTTGCAATTTTAATCTGTAAATATAATTGATGCTCTAAATGATTTTACAATGCTTTGTATTTGTCACAAAATACTTTCTTGTCTAGCAATTAATTGTCCTAAAAACAGCATTTAGCTCCTTTGTGGCTAACATTTTTTGTAATTTTGTCCCTAAAATTGTATCAATACTGGTCTCTTCAGAAAGAGTCAAAACACATTAGCTAAAAACTGGCTTTCAGCATTGAGTGTCACCCCACTATCATTCTGACAATATAAACTATGTCCCCATCAGTGGTGGGATTCAAAAAATGTTACTACTGGTTCTGTGGGCATGGTTTGGTGGGCATGGCTTGGTAGGTGTGGCTTTGTGGATGTGGCAGGGGAAGGATACTGAAAAATCCCCATTCCCTCCCACCCCATTAAACTGCTTTCCAGCTCTGTTCTCCTGGGCAGGGCAATAAAAGAAGACCCAGCTGATTAGCTAAGACTCGGGAGGCAGAGAATAGATGGGGGTGGGGCCAGTCAGAGGTGGTATTTGCTGGTTCTCCAAACTACTCAAAATTTCCACTACCGGTTCTCCAGAACTGGTCAGAACCTGCTGAATACCTCCTCTGGTCCCCATGATTATAGTATTGGCATAGTAATAGTTGGAAGATGCAATAAAATGCTATAAATCACTCACAAGGAAATGGCTATAAGCTCAGTCATTTTTTCCTCAGCATCGCCATTATGCTGGGATATGCGTGTGTTAAAGTAAAAGTGGATAATTTTCTTTCTGGCTCTTAACTATTTGTCTTATCTATTTAATCAGTGACCAGGATTTCCTCAATGGTTATATATAGAACAAAAATACATCTAGATGAGATATACAATCAGTCCCAATTAATGTGAAACTGCTGTCAATAACATTTGTACCTATTGTATAGTTAGCAACATGGACTAAAATTTATTGTTGGCAATGCTTGTTCACCATTCCTTTGGAAATAAACCTGGAGTCTTTTAACACGTCTATCTGGAAGCATATAATGTAAATTATTTGGACTATGCATGTTTCGGATTGATGTGTCTGTCTTACTGACTTTGGTGACATTCACTTCAAAGTAGGTATAAATAAGAGTGCAACATGTATGTGCATATTTACTTAGGATTAAGTCCCACTCATTTTGCTCCACACGGCTTGGCTTGCTCCCTTAGTTTAGATCAGGGGTCTCAAACTCACGTGGTCATGGTGATATCACGTGATGTATCGGGACTTTTCCCCCTCCCCCCTCCACTAAACCAGGCATGAGGATAGCCAGTGTGTGACGCATCTGCCCACAGGCTGGGAGTTTGACAGCCCTGGTTTAGATAATGCTTAGATTACAAACCAAGCCATAAGATCCCCTGAAAATGGGCTATTTTTTTTAAAGTACCACTTCAAAAATGTACCTTTAAATAATTGACTATCCCAAATTAATTAAGATGTTCTAGAATGGCATAACTCATGCTGCACAGCCATGATACTTACATCCCATACAAAATTGTGTTCCGCAGATCAGTCGGCTTCTAGAGCTTTTCAGAAGGCATGAAACTGTGGAAAAAGGCTCGTTATAATTCTGAAGATTGAGCTGAACTGTAGTTTGGTTTATAACTGATAGGAGCGTATCCTCAACATCAGCATTATTTAAGTTCAGAGATAGTTTCCCTTTCTGACACTTTTCCATGCAATGACAATTTATAGAAATATTTTGGCCCATTTGAATGATTGGGGCTGGTTCTACCCATACACGCCCAGAGCACTTTATGATACCTGAAAAGACAAAGAAGAACAGGAGGAGAAAGGATTACTATTAACACCTTGGCAATTCATTAGAGGTAAATTCTCCATGTTTGGGGTATCCTAAACTTGCTAAGGAGCACAAACAGCTATGGGGTTATTGTCCTGAAAGCCCTTCCCTGCCTTTCAATGTTGCTTGCCTCTTTTAAAATTTATATATTGCTTTATGGTTTTTTTAATATATTATTTTGTGTACTGCCCGGAATCCCTCTGTGAGGGAAAGAGGCGGTTTTAAAATTTGATAAATTAAAATAAATAATCTTTCAAAAGTATTTACCTAGTAATTCACTCTAAGAATTAAAAACAACAGATCGTGAAATCCGTAGAGGAGATGGTGTTGCTATCTTCTATAAAAAGTCCCTACATCTAAAAAACATCCAAGTTACCCAGGAGCTTGCTATTCCTGAGACCATCGTCTGTCAACTGTCCTTAAATATTACATTTCACTTCTTACTATGTTACAGAGCCTCTGATTATGACATCGAACATGCAAACAAGCTAAATACACTACTAACATGGGCAGCATCCTGCCCACACAATTTTATCTTTCTTGGTGACTTCAATCTACCTCATATTAACTGGACCCTTAACGAATGTACAACTGAACCCATACATGCAACCTTATACAATGCAATAACAAATCTGGGACTAGAACAACAAGTAACCAACAACACCAGACTTAACAACTGCCTCAATCTCATCTTCTGCAATAGTTTGAATTCCATTTATGGAATAAAATTAAAGAACCCTTTTCCAACAGTGACCACAACATGATTGACTTTTGTCTCAACATACGTCCACTCAGAAATAATCACAATGACGGAATCCCCAATTATAACTTCAAAAAAGGCAACTATGATCTTATAAACAATGATCTCTCATCCCTTGATTGGCAATTTCTATTCTCTGGATGCAATACTGTAGAAGACCATTACAACATACTTTTACTTGAAGTCAAAAGAGTCATCAAACTATATGTA